ACCTCCCGGGGGTGGGAACGGCCCCGAGCGCCGTCCCGGAAGCGAACCCCCCCCCAAGCGCGCCGCACCCCGGAAGAAAATCCCCGCCCGGCGAGCATCGCCCCCCTCCCCCCCACCGCGCCCCGCTCCGCCCCCGCGCGGGAGGGGCCTCTCCACCGCCCCAGCGTGGGCGGGAACCAAGGCGGGGCGGCCGCGTTGAGCGGGGAACGCTTTCGCGGCTGCGCGCGCGCGCGCGGGGCGCCGACTTCCGGCGCTGGCCTATATAAAGGGAGGCGCGGCGGGAGGCATTTCCTTTCAGCGTGAAGCGGCGCGGGGGTCGCAGGGTGAGTGCGGGCTGTGGTCGGGCCCGGCGCCGCTCGTCCGCGCTGCCCCTCGCGCCCGCCGCGGCGGGGCCCGGCCCGCCCACAGTGGGGCGCTGCGGGCGGCGGTTGCCCCGCGGCGGGGCGGATGGAGGAGGATGGAGCGGGATCCGGGCCGCGTGCGGAAGGGCCGAGCGTGGCGGGAGCGGCGGCCGCGCCGCAGGCCTGAGTGCGGCCTGTGGAGGCCCCCCTGGGTATGGGGCTCCCCGTGGAGCCTCGTCCGGGGCTGCTGGTGGGGCGCACGAGGCGTTTCTTAAACTGCACGTTAGTTCCTGCGTGGAAGGGGCAGCGCAGAGCGCGGTAGGGCTTTTGTGGGGACATTTTGCGGCTGTCCTTCGGTCAGCTTCGTAGTCAGAAGCTGGTGCTGCGCTGGGGAGAGCCTTTTGCCCATGAGGGAAGTGAGAGCAAYACCCCGCAGAACAGTCTGCTTGCAAATGCAGGGCTGCGGTTTTTTCTCACGTTCCTCAGCCTGGATAACAGGCTCCGTAGCATTAAAGCTACAGGCCTGAAACTTAAGAGTAGTGCAGCAGTTCATTACTTGCTATCCATGAGCCTGCACATGATGAAAACTATGTTGGTAGGGACATCTGAGAAGCTGATGAATGCCAACATAGCTGAGCTGGACATGGAGCCTCTGGTATCTGGCATGGCCGAGCGCCACGTGGTCCCCTCTGAACACAGTTAATGGCTGCAGGACTCGCTAGGTACTTACACAGTGAGACTGAAGTTGCAGAAAGTGCGGAAATGTAGTGTTACCATGTCTATACAGGCCAACTTGCAATGCTTTAAAACATGGCTAGAGATTTTTTTATTGCCTTGTGTCAGGAGAGTTGGAATTTTATTTGCAGTWTTCAACTGAGCTTAACAGGTTTTAGTTTAATGTTGTGAATTTTTCCTTCTGGCACCATGTCCAGTTTTACAAAAACAACTAATGGATCCTCTTTTTTTTCCAGATAAGATGCCTCAGATAAATACTTTCTCCTTTGGAGCAAAGCAGGTGGGCATCGCTTCTGAAATGTGATATTTGAGTTGTGAAACCCTGTGCCTGCTCTGCAGGTTCATTTTAGCAACTAGGTTGAATTTCAGGAATTTGGTAATTTAGTAACCGCTTGTAGTGTTTTTTCAGGGAATGTTCATGTTTATGCTAGAAAAAAATCTCTCATGAGAATGCACGAATACAGTAAATACTGTATAAGTTGATTACTGCTGTTTCACCATCCATAGCATTGGGTGGCTTGTTATTTGGAAAAAATGTCAGTTGTCTATTCCAAAAAGTGTTTGCAACTATTTGAATTACTGTTATGTCCTAAAATGGAGAGCCTCTGATGTACATTTTAGAGTAGTGGACAGAAGGGATTTCTGAAAACTCCGTACTGAGGCTTCTTCTGTCAGTGTTCCTCTAAAAGTCTCTTGATCGGTTCTTCTAGTGTCTGAATCTCTGCTGTCTCTTCCAGATCTGCCCTGSAAGTTGGAGACTTGCTACTTCACAAGGTAAAATCTTGTTAAAAACTGAGTGTGAAATCGGTTTGCGGCTTTTGGATCATTTAGGTAAAACTTTTCTATATAAAACTTTTCTATACAATTTCTATATCAGGAGGCAAACTTTATATTCTTGGTTGAGTTTTCCTTCTGGTGCCACCATGATGACTTTTATTTGCTACTCTTGACCAAGAGAGTGATGAGAACTTCTACCACCATTATTTACATCTGAGAGGCACAGCAGCAGAGAAAGCTCCTGGGGGTTTTGACTTCTGAACATAGATTTCACTGACTTTTTTTTCTTTCCAGGCTTTCAATCATGCACTTTGAAGACTTAAAGAAAGATAACCTGGTAAGAAACTAAATAAAATCCATGGTTTCTTGTCTGTAGAAGTGGCTTGGGATTTATTCTACTAAATCACAGAAATTTATATTTGCCATTATTTAAAGGACTTTTTGAAAAGAGGGCTTTTGCTCAAAGCTGTTGCAAGAAAGAAGTGATAATTTGGAACAAATCTTCCAAAGCAGATACAATGATGATAACATAGTTCAGCAGAATATCCTGTGATGAGCAGAGATTTGTCTTTCGCTCCTATCTGATGTATCTAGCTGTTGTGATATCCTCCCAGCAGGTCTAGCTCATGCCAAGGCAGCTAAGGAAATATTTCTTTTTTTTGTCTTGCAGGCACTGAAAGATGAAGCATTAAGCTGTGCAAGGTAGATGTTTTATTATTTGCATGAATTATATATGCCTCTGACCTATGAAGGCTGCATATGATGACAACATAGTTCAGCAGATGAGCTGTGATGATCACAGTTACTGTCTTTCGCTCCTATCTGATGCAGTCTCCGTTAATAATAATGCATATCCTCCATTAATAAACACTCATCATTGGAAGTTAATCAGATAAATAGAATGTAAGAATATGTCCTTGTGACTTTAACCAGAAACAGTGGAATCAATGTGCTAATCTCGATTCATCAGATATTAGTGCTCCAGTTGCTATAACTATCGCTTTGCAGGCTTCTCAGGAGAGAACGATGTAGAATGTCTGTGCAAGGGAAGAAACTTTCAGCTGTTGAAGAGAAGGCCTTGCTTGACTGAAGGTAACTATTTTAGGATGGATACTATGGTTGACTGTGCTGCGTTTGTGTAACAAATCTGCTATGAAACTGCATATGCAGTTCAGAAAAAATCGAGTATGCTGGAGAGTACTGGATGATAGCTTATGAAATCTGAGTGTCTGGGGAGTGTAACCATTGCTGTAAATGATGTTGAATCAGGTCTCTGATCCCTGTGAGGATAAAACTTGACTAAACACTGATACAGTCTTTCACTAGAACTGTCATTCTAGCCTGAAGGTTTATGCTGGAGCCTGTCTAACAGTAACTCTTCTTTTTCAGTTTTTCAGAGTGCTTCTGGATGTGATGTAAGTACTTGTAGCTCTGCAAGTAGAATATAAAAATACGCATGTGAAATGAAGTCTTAAGTTGGGGAGGGGGAGCTGGTGCTGTCTGCTGCTTGCATCTGATTTAAAAATAGAAGGATGCTTAAGGGGAGAACTGTAATGTAAGGTGCCCTACCTTGGCACACTCAYTTGTGTCAAACTCCTATGATGTAGTGTGCTTATGGGCTGGTTAGGTTGCTCTGATAGCAGCACTTGAGCCTTTGTTGCTCTTTGTCACACCAGCTGTAGCCTAAAGTAGATAACTGTCCAGTAGAACTGCCTGTGTGATGAGATGTGAATAAACTGACTTCAATCGTGGAGGTCTGCAATTAGCTCTATCTGACTTCAGGCTTCTGACGAGATTTTTTTTTTCTTTGTTGGTTTGTGGGTAGTTCTGACTCCTCCTTTTGTTGCAGGGCTGGAGTGGAGCTGTTGAGCCATGCAGTTGGTAGCATTGCCAGCAAATGTAAGTTGCTTGCAAACTGATCATATGCAAGGAGTTCCCTGTGGATTTTTTTTGATTTTATATTTTGGCACTCAGTTTGAGCACTCTTTGAGAATGGAAATTGTACAGGCAGGAATCTTACAGGGTTGTAATGATGTTGCCAAATGTCTGACCTGAAGCAATAATGTGGACTATTCTTTACTGAAAGACCCTGTAAGTGGCTGTAACTGTAAATGTAGTGGCAATAGAGTAATTGACTGCTTGACATGGGAGGGAATTCTAGGTAACTGTGGGTAAGTGGGAGCAGTCCTTTGTAGTTTGAGGTTTTTTGGTACTTACGTGGTGGTTTGTCACCTGAGATGCAAAGTTACTGTCTTGAGGGTTTTTAATGGGGAAAGGTGCTGTGAACAATCTGTTTAAAGTTACTTCATTAAAGTTACCAGCTGACTTCAACAAATTATCTTTATTGGATATAACTTTCAGTTSCATAATAGCTTCAGTAGAGTGTGGTAGGAGTTTTAAATCTCAAAGAGGGCCAAGTCACATTATAATGTTACACAGAAATAGCCTCACTGTAAGCTTTAAACTTGTGTAGCAGTACAGATCAAATGCACCATATTCCCAATAGTAAAAACTTGCTTGTATGCTGCTTAAGAGATCCATGTTTTGCCCTTCAGGCTTTCAAAATTGCTTGGCATTTGGCTTCACTGATCTGTAGTGGGAATAAGGAGTGTTACTGCTAAAATTCTCTCTGCCCCTCCTAGGGGAGAGTATATGAGGTAGGTTCCTTTTACTGGAGCAGAGCTGGTGAAATGTGGGTACCTCGGTTTGGCATCAGAGCATGTGCTAGTCTGTGCTTTGCATTCACAAGCACCACTTGCTTCAGTCCATGTCTGGAACCAGTAAAGACTGGGATAAGAGATGGTGATGGTAACACTGGACAGAGGGGTTGGGAAACTTGATGAACTTTGGAAGTAGTATTAGCCATGTACTGAAAAGTTATTTCATGTATGTATCGTAGATTTGCTGCAAGAAGACCTGCCAGACACTTCATAGCACTGTGCCTGTAAATGGTAAGACGCTTGTTCCACATTTATTGTAATATTCCTTAGGAATGTCACTTGCTTTCTGTATCTGAAAAGAAATAAGGGCCAGCTGCAATGTGCAGCTGTTGTGCACTGCTTGATTTGCTAGTTGATGGGCAAAGCCACCATCATGGTTCTGCTGATGCTCCGGAAACCGCCACATAGTTAAATGACACAATGGGCCTTCGCAAAGAGTAACTCTAACCTTAAAGTGTTGGAGWAATTGGGGAAATGGTTTGTCTGAATGGCTGAATTAATGCAATTACGTGATGTGAGTGAAGATGTGGCTAGTGGTAAGGTTTGAAATGCTGAGATGTTTATCTTTACTGAAGGAGCCTAAAAGTAGCAGGATGTGAAGCTTCTGTAAGGRATGTACTGTTCGTGATGATCAGTTCTTAGCAATGGGAATCTCTCTGAAGGAGGCTGAGGAGGACTCTTGCACTGAAACAGTACATGCATGCAAACTAACTCCTGAGATTTTGCCAAGGAGAGGGTTAACAATTTTTTGTTACAGGGTGATGCCCATGGGAAATGTGTGAAGCAAGACCTGCTTCTGCCTGAGGTAAGAGCAGAGCGCAGCTTCCAAACTGCAGGCTTTGATAACTGGTGTAAAGCTGCCTTTAGGGGACATGCCTGGCAGGTAGTGCTGGCAGACAGCAGTAGAATGGATCTGGTTTGTATGCCTTGAGTGTGTTCTCAGCCTTCCAGTTGTGCTTACTGTGGGGATAAACATAATGCCACTGAGTAATAATTAACTTCTKTGTAGATTTGAAGTAGATGTTGATGGGAAGAGCTGTTACAGAGCAGATGTGACTTGATCCAGACCCTGACCTTATAAGCATTAGTGAACTTCATATAGAGTACTGCTAGTGTGAACAGAAGATGTGGCCTTGATGACTTAAAGGTTTATTATTGGTTGATGCTTTCAGCAAGGGGAAGTAATAAAGAAACTGAGTTGGTGATGAGGCTGTTTCAGCGAGTACAACATTGGTAATACAGTTCAGCAGAATACACAAACATCACTCCTGTCTAATATGTGTGTCTGGGTTATGGACTGACAGTGCAACATTGCTGCACTTCAAGTAAAACCTATGTTCTGTAGCTGGTGAAAGTTCTTACATAGCTATGATCTTGGTTCAAGATAAGAGTTATATGAGGTTTGTATTACAGGCATCCAAACTCCATGTGATTGAATAAGACTTTGGGAACAGGCAGGATCACAAATTAGTAGCTACTTTTTCCTGATTCTTGTAATGTTTGTAACCATTTCAAATTTGGTTAGTATTTCGAAGACATATATCTGTACCTAAGTGCTATAATTAGATGCTCTTGTCAGCTGGAACTGAAATGTAATTTCTGAAGTGTAGTAGTTTGGTAAATACAATTTCATAAGTACAATTAAACTTGCATATTGATTCTTGCTGTTCTAAAACAGTTCTCTTCCTCAGGAAAGGACTATTCYGTCTGCAGCTTCATTAGGTAAGATCACATGACTATATTCCTAAAGAACTTGGGGAATATTTGTAGCCACTGATGAAATTTGATTCTGCCAGATGAATTGCTGTGATATCACCTATTTCCGTTCCACTCTTCTGAGGCTACAGAACTGTTGAAAGAAGCTCTTTGCAAGTATGCTGCTATATATGTTAAGCTTGAAKTTTTTTTTCCTTGATTTAGGTTGGGAGGCAGCTTGGAAACTACTGTATGAAGATGCAGAAAGTGAGTATACCTGACCACAGTAATATTGAGATCTCTTGGCTGGAACAGATGATGATTACAACCTTAGCTTGAACTCTCTCTCTGAACAGAGATGAAAATCTAAGGTCTGAGTTGTTCCCAGCAAGCTTTTTGTCAATTTGGTGCCCTGTAACAGTTCCTTTACCTGTTTTAATAGGGGGAAGATTGCAGAACAAGGGATTTACCCTCCATGAACAGCATTAAAAACCTAATGCTTTGTGGWAATACCTGATACTGATGGGAACCAATAAAATCTTGCAAACTCTGTYGTTGTGAACTGCTTTTTGATTTGCTCTTGAAGCTCCAGGCTGTTTTATGAAAGCTTCAAAAGATGATTTAGAGTAAGTGAAGGAAACAGGAGTTCTGCATAGTCTAACTTGCAGGCTGTTTGGCATATGGTTATTGCTAGCATTAAGATGGAATTAGAGTAGGCTCGAATCATGCATAGATTTTTGGATAAACTAAATACTAAGTAACATAAGATGGTAATGAAGTAGCACTTAAGGTTTAGCTCTTATACCTGTAAAGTAATACTGCTTGTGAATTTTAAAAACAAACTGAAAGTTCTATAAAGGCAAGAGGTCTGTTGTGCACCTTCAGTAGATGTATACAAAGTAAGCATAGTGTGTGGGCACTGTTAACCTTTCTCTTCTGGCTTCTCAATGTGGGGAAAAGTCAATTTTGAAGAGTCCACTCTGCATAACACTTGGACAATACATGTGTAGCACTTCTAATGAGAAATAAATTAGAGATTCAAATTGTCCTGTAATAATAATTTCAGATATGAGGTTTTTCCAGATTTTCTTGGTAAAAGGAGTGGAAATAAGTCACTTYCACCCAGCTGGTATGAACTACCTGAATTCAAGGTTTACCTTGTAAAAAAGGGCTGAGATTTTTTTTAAAGATACATCTGTCCTAGATAAAAAGCTTCTCTGTGGAAATTTAGTCTCTTCTACACTAAAGCAAGAGCTGRTAATGAGGCCTGTTTTCAAGAACTGATTAGTAGCTTCTTACTATTTTCCCCTGTATTAYTTTTTAAAATACCATACTTCATTGTGCCTGTTGAAGAGTTTGAAAGGACTGTTGTAGCCTGCTGTGTAGAAGAAGTCTTCGTGGAATAACTGGCCTCTATTTCTCAGGCTTCTAGCCAATACTTCAGCTTCCTCTGCAAATTTCTCTGGTGAGGCAAAACCACCAAAAGACCTGGAAGAAGTGAGAGGGGAGTAGAGATGTTTATACCAACTTGTAGGAGTTYAAGCTAGGGTCCAAAATGTTCCTTTTGTTTCCACAGAAGAGAGATATCAGGCTTCCCAACTATGTAGTTACTAAACTGTACAGCTGCTCAGGGATTGTGTGGCTGTTGGTACTCATTTGAAAGATGGGGTTATCAAAAAATAGTATCTAGGTGGCTAGTGGTTGCACAGAGCATGAGCTGGTACAGTCTGACTTGAACACACAGAAGGCAGAATGACCTGTCGTGTGGCTCTTTGAGGAACTACAGTTAAGGGTTAGCTGATTTTATCTCTTCTGTAACCGAGGGCATGTTCCCAAAACAAGGATGCTGAGGGCTGCGCTTGCATAAAATCCCTTCTGCACAAAACGAGAATGCTGAAAAAGGAGTATCCTAAAGCTAATAACTGTCCTCAGCAGGACACCCCAAGAACCTTTGTATGCCCATSCCAGAAGTGGACAAGAGTGATTTCTAAGTCCCCAAGCTTGGCTCATCTGAGGCTCTAGCCATTTCTCAGACATAATTGAGGAAGAATGTTCTATGCCCTTTGTTGGATCCCTTTCACCCTCCATGAGGTACTGCTCATGGACAAAGGCAGTGCTCACCTCACAAAGATAGTTGCAGCTTTTCGCTCTTCAACAAACACTTCGGAGTCACTGGGCTGTGGAGGTGAGTCCTGATGYTCAAAGGGCAAGAAGAAAGAGATCTTGAAGTCTGCACAGCCAGGCTTTACCAGGCATGTCACTGGGACAGCCATATCAATCTTGATTTCTAGAAGAAAGTAATATGCTGAGGTGTGAGTAGAGGCTGCCTCACTGCTGCTCACCAGCCTCTAAACAGTCATGTGAGGCAAGGCAATACTGCCTGCTCTTCTGTTTTCATCTGTTCCTAACTTTCTAGCTGTTTGTATGCTGACTGGGCTGTTCCTGTCATCCTTTGAGGTCCATTGAACAAGGAATTAAGCTTTTTGCTTTGTTTATCTTGGGTAGCTGGTCTTGAGAGACTGTGGAGAGAAGATGTGATGSTATGAAAGAAGATGAACGGATTAGAGCAAGAAAGGGAAACTGGAGTGTGGCCCAGCTCCTTTAATGTAATAAGCTACTCAGCTTTGTCTCTCATGTACACATCTTAACAGKTGCAAGCCAGCACAGCCTCATACCTTTCTCATTCTTCCCTTGGATATAGTGGAAGAGTTTCCAGAAGCCCTGGCGCATTGCCTCCTTCTGGGTCTCTCCCCTGATGACAGTGTTGACCCACTTKGCGGTTTCATACTGACGCAGCTCATAATCTTCTGTCTAAAAGGCAGCAAAAAAGACAGTAACTATGAGGGTGACATTTGTTCCAGCTCACCCTGTAGCCTCCCCCCCACCCTAGTGTCCCATTCCACCTAGGACTGCCCAGCTCTTGTAATGCTTCCCAACTTCTCTGTGCTCAGGTGCAGAATGCCAAATGCACCTTAGCTTGGCAGCACTCTGACTGCAGAGCTTCATTTGCACACCCAGCCCTCAGGTATTACCATGGTCTCAACTGAGCTCCACCGAGGGGACTGCAGATCCAGGGACAGAAATGTTTGCTTGAGGAATTTGATCATCTTGCCGCAGCTGAAATGCAGGCAGAATTCATTAGCCACTTTTTGATCYGTGTGGTATAAATAAGGCAGAACAAACTATCAAGCCTTTTCTGCCTCACCTCATGCCTTTTCTCAGTCTAGTTTCCAGCCTTTCAGTAAAACCTGCTACAATGAGAAATGACTGGAAGAATTCAGGCAAGAGACGGAAGCTTTCCAAAAAGCAAAGTATCTCTGATACTTTGAAAAGCCTCACTAGTTCCTTGTTACTGCTTGTTCCCAATTATTTTAACAAAAACAGAGTTAAATTCTGATAGCCCTGAAGCAGAAGAAATGGAACTGCAGCAAAACGGCTTTGGAAGCATTTGTGTCTTGGGGAATGTTGCCTTCATGCCTCTGTGAGGTGAGAGTGCTTCCTAGCTGCCCAAGAAGCTTGGGATTCTCCAAGTGGAATCCATAAGGAAAATGGGCTTCAGATGTTCAAGCACTTTGCTTCTGGATTAAAAGGTACAGTTATTGATGGATATTCTAGTAGTGCACAATTTCATTGGGTTATCTGAAAAAAGTTGATGTTTTATTTAAACCTTTATTTATTTTATTTAAAACCTTAACTGGTGCAGTCCTGTGACTTTATAGGACTTTGAGTACACGCCTACTTTCTTGCCTTCCACTCTAGRAAGGATAAGAATGAAAACATGAAAAATTCACATTGCTGCCACAAAAGAAAGCAAGCAGAAAAAATCAAAATCTGTGTATGTATAATCATATCTGGTTAAAGTTTGATATTTTAGGAGAGTCAGTAATATACTTGTCAATAACAAGTAGACAGTAATACATTCTGAGAAAGTTTCTGTTTTCTGCTAAAAAACTGTTCTTATCAAGAATTTAAGATAAGAAAGACAGCCTGWTATTAAGTTAGTTTTTATCTGGATTTTTAGGTCAGAGTTTGATAATCTATTGTCTTTCTGCAGCATGATTTGAGTGCGTGTTTGTTGGGGGGCAAAACAAGTTCTGTGGTTATTTTTCGTAACCCAAAACTCTACCCCCATCTTTAGTGTGACAATTTGTGAGTATTAAGGACATGGCTTTATAGTAAAAAAACCAARAGCTACCTTGAGCCAGCCAGTTCCTTTCTTGCCTGTTTCTTAGAGCCCTCTGATAGTTTCACATGAAGACAGAATTTATCAATACTTGCAGGCATACCCTGCTATAAGCTGTTGTTGAACACTGCTAATGCTTTGCAGTACTCTGATTTAGATGTGGCCACCACTTTTCACTTCGGAATCTACCAGGGTGAAAAGCTTTTATGAGGAAAAAAAAAAAAAGTGAAATTACTGGAACTAGTTTCACTTACAATCACAAAAATGATTTTAAGTGCACTGCAGAGAGCATTTGTATGCTGAAGRATGTCTGTCCCAGCTTGAAGTTGTAACACAATTGTTCAAGTTCAGCAGTACATTTAGCAGAACTAGTCACCAAGAACTGTTACATGGCACTGTTACTGTGCCATGTAAGTATAGTGAGCTTTACTATCTTATTCTAACATTTTTGTTTATCGTGCTTTAACGTTATGATAAGCGAGACATAACAAGCAGGACACAATTTTAYTAGAAGCAAATGTTCTATTCTGAAACTTCATATGATAACTATATTTTCTGTTAATACAAAATCAAAAATATTTCTTCATTGTCTTTTCCCTCCCTCCCTTTTTCTTTGCTACATCTTGATAGAAAATGTACTTCTCCTGATTATGCACATAAAGAAATACCTTCATCTTAAGGAAGTGAATTTTCCTTCATTGCAATGCTTGCTGGTTCAGTAGCTGCAGGCTTGCCCTGTATTTCCCTAAACCTTCCTGACTCACCTTGTGTTAAGTGCTGTTCAGATCTGTTGCAGAGCTTTTCCTGCTGCAGCCTTGTGGCCAAAACTGTTGGTGACTATACTTAAAAAAAATTCTGAATTACATAAAAGAATGCTTATGGAACAAGAGAAGAAAAAAAAAAAGGTAAAGACAAACCTAAAGTAATTCTCCAAACATTTACAGTTGAATTCATTCTCAGATCTGTAGTAAAACTTAAGTTTGGGGTTTGCATCTGTTCTTGTTTATCTTGCACCAAGCATCTTTGCWGKYWKCWTAWGMWRMCWGCAATAAGCCAGTGTAGCCAAAGCRTCCACTGTTCCACAAAGGAGTGAATTACACAACGAAAGGGGAGGAAGTAGCTGTACTTACATTTTGGAGGAGAAACTCCTTGGCCTTGTAGCTGTCACGGTCTGTGCTTCTGAGGCTGTTCACGTTACACACAGCGTGTCAGCATTTATTTTTGTTTGCTTCAGCTCCACCCWTGCCACATCCCTATTGGTGGGAGACGCTGTTACAAAAACCAGGACCTCAAAGCATTCTCCTGCACGTCTCACTGGAGACCTCCCACACGAGTACTGAGAGCCCTACCCCTGTCCACGTGGCAGCCCTGCCTCTGGTTATGTGATGTGCTTGCATAAACACTTCTGCATCCTTGTGCAACATCCACCGGCTACCCAGTACCYGACCTGCCTGTGCCAGAGTCAGTTCTCTGGCTTGGTTCTCTGCTCTCCAGGAATCACGTAAATAACCTCCCCCTTTCTGTCCATTCATTGTCCTGACTGCTTGAGAGGGGTGGTGCAGRGCAGCAGCTTTCCCTTTTTGTCCCAGGGCAAATTGGTGGGTACAAATCGGGCTAAAAACAAACAGCTAACACAGTCTTTATGAAATTTTTGCTGACATGTTAGAAAATTCAGTGTTCTTATATAATGGGCTGTCTGTTTTAAATGGTATTTGAGAGTAATCAGCCTCCCTAGCCCTTGGATGTCTGCACAAAGGGCTTATACAAAACTATTGTGAAATCCTGCTGTGTTTGTAGTGAACAAAGCGAAGCTGGATTCCTCATGTAACTAGCTCCAGATTTAGTTAAGTGCCAGCAAAATAGATATTTGAATCCTGAAAACATGTCCTGTGTTTGGGATGGTTCGTGCAAATCCCTTGCAGCCAAATTCACCCAAACTTACTGTGATATTTGCGTTCCATAAGCGAGAATGGCTTTTAGCATARGCCAAATAACTCCTTGTCAGGGTGACATGAAGGGAAAAGATGCCAAGTTGTAGTTGCAGACCTCTCTCTAATGTCACTAAGGTGGCTATTTAGAGAGAGATTTGACTAGTTAAACCTATTAGAACATGCCAAGGTCAGAAACATAGAGCCATTTCTCTGTGGGTTCAGCATAATTATTTTATGACCTTTACAGGTGTTCCGCTTCAATCAAACAGGAGAAAAGCAGGATGGTGTTTCAGAGAAGCAGAAGCTGTTACTTGTGGTGTTTATGTGGGGGCTCAAGGCGTACCAAGGCTTTTACTTGACTTTGGAGTGAAGTTAGGCYCTGTCACCTTAGTGACCATGCCAAGTGCATACTAGTAGGTAGGAGGGCTGCCTAACCCAGCTACCACACTTTGGTCCATCTCCACACTTGAGCACGTGCACAGAGAAATGCTGCCTTGAAAGGGGAGCCATTAATTTGTAGATAAACACAAGCCCACTGTTGTGTGGGCTTGTGTGAACTGTGTGTTTTGTCTCTGAAGCAGAGACCCAGAACAATTTCTGACCTGTGTGTGTGTTTCGGTCCYCAACAAAGAACTGGCTGTTCTGCTGGAGTAGCCTGAGGTTGGAAAACAACGCTCAGTGTTTTCCTCAAGAGGTTGTTTTCCATCACACTTTTGTTTTTCACATGCACATTGGAAGGACATGTCAGCAATTGGGGGATACACACAGTGGGCCAGGCATGAAGGCATGTTCTTTACCTACGGAGGAGCCATAATTGTACTAATTAAGCAGTAATTGAATCTAAAAGGATGCCTAAGATCATCTCTTTAATATCTCATAGATGCATCAGAGACTTGGCTGGTATTTTGTAGAACAGCTGACAAAGCAACGGTTTCCTACACTGTTGTCTCAAAGAGAAATAAGATTATAACAATAGCACTAATACTGTCACTAATACTCAAGCTGGTGTTTCTGACTCTGCAAAAAGCTCATAGTTCCATCTCAGTGTTCTAAGGAAATGAATTGAGCTTCCCCCTACAAATTAATTTTTGACAGCTTTCCACTCAGAACAAGATAATGAAACAGAGGTGAGATTTTTGTCCATAAGATAAAAACAGCTCATTCAGAGAAATACAGAGTTTATATAGATAAAATTTTAGTGTTTAAAAAGAAGAAAGCCATAATCTGATTTTTTAATAGTATTTAATAATGGTTTAAGGCTATATGATCAATACAGATATAGCCTAGAGTAAGAAAGAATATAAAATTTATATACTTTTTTTCAAACACAGCTCTGGTGTTTTACAGTCTGAAGGGAGGAAAGAGGCAGGCTCACTAGGATAGTCCAGTGTTTGAAGTCATCAACAGTTCACACAAGAAGAAAGAAGTAGTTAGCAACCTTTGTAGCAGCACAGTACCTCACCTATCAGATGAGTTCTCAGGTAAGTGCCTCCTGCCTTGTTCCTGTAGGCAGGAACGCGTTCCCTAAATGAACATGCAGAGATAACTGCAAAAATGGTGGGCTCTTTTTTTATTTAGGGATGTTTTTGTTCTSACAGCACTCAGCAATACAGATTGAGGGCCACCAGGATATGTGTTAACATGGGGAAGAATGAGCACTGAGGAAGGATAAAAAAAACAGATTTTAGGGGAAAGTTGTGGGGCCTTTGGCTTTGGAAGTTAAGCAACCTCAGAAAAACAGTCAGCAAGTTCTTAATGTCAATCCATTATGTTCATACATGGCAGCCTGCTTGCAGTTCAATTTCTGGACATGAATATGTGTTTCTTAAATGTTATAAGTTTCCTATTTGAAGTTAGCTTATGCTTTTGATTATGTAAGCTTTTGAGATTAATATTTTCCTTATGGAAAAAATGCTTACAACTATCAAAACTACATTTTCATTCCTTTAATTGTTTTTGTTAATAATTTGTTAATATTATTTTTATTGTTTTCCTTGTCATACTCTGAGCTTTGGCACCAGTGACACTTTACTGCTTTTTTTCTGTGGTAAGTCATTACACAGCATGCTGCAGCTTTAACAGAACTGCAGACAGCCTCAGCACTTCCTTTGTCTTTCCCAAAATACACAATGTGGATTTTGGATTCTCTCCTAAATAGGAATTCACATGTTCCTATTCTCCTGAATATAAAATTCCACAGTCATTTAAGCTTTTCTAAATGTGTTTGCTCATTCAAGAGACATTAGGCATTAAACATGTGCTAAAAGCGTCTTAAGCGATTATAAAGGAGAGTAATGAGGTATTTTGAAYGGTTACCACAGGCTCATTTCTTTCCCTTGGGGGAAGCATCATCCATCAGATGCTGCATTCACATACACATCTAGTAAAGGCCAGAGAAAATGACAGCTGAGTGTGAATAGCCCACGGTGGGCATATTTTGGAATGGAGGAGGAATGCCACCAGCCCAAGCTCCTGAGATTACTATGTGACTATGAAAAATGTGCTCCCAGAGCACAGAACAACAGGGGATTGTTCTCTTTGCTATGGACACTGTGGACTCATTTACACACCCTTGTGTAAGATCTGAAGGGCAGTACAGAAGGTTGAGTGTTTTACTACACCTGTTTTATGGATAGGAAAGAGGTGTTGCAAGGCAAAAGGATTTCCCTCAGTTTGCAAAGCAAGCCCCATAGCAGAGATGCAACCTGCAGACATTTTCAGGACATTCTCAGGAAAGACCAATTTATGTCTTTTTTGGTGATGAGTCCATGTACAATTTATGTTGGAGCTTTTACAGCTTCTCTTCTGAGGCTGTTAAATGTCAGTCGTGAATCCATGCAGGGCGTTAAGGGGGCACTTGTACATCATGTTAATGGGTGATGACAGTCCAGTGGCTAACTTTGCTGAGAAGATTCAAATTCAGGACGTGGCACTGTTTTTGTGGGATGGAAGAATCAAAAAAGAGGCTGAAGGAGAGGCAGGCGATGAGGAAACAGGGAGCCAATACTCTTTGTGTTTTTATGTTACTTGTGTGTTTTTGCACACACAGATTAACAGGATGTCCCCTGCAGGCATCCATACACCAGAGATCACTGTTATCTGAGGAGCTTGCAGATCAGAGAACCATGGGGAGGAGCACAAGAGCTAAATATGAGAAACTAAGGCACAAGTACTAATAGTTTATTTGTTTTAATGCTGCAACATATGCTAGTGCATGTAAAATTCCTTTTACATAACATGCTTGCATTAACATGCTTACATTACAATAACATGCTTACATTACATTACTCATATGTAGTTTTAAGTTTGATCTCCTTTTGAACAATATTTTGTCTGGGAACAGAGAAAAGATGAAATTTGACTAACACAACTAGTTATAATTGCTCAGGAAAAACATCTTTTAATTGGTGATGCTCTTTACCACAGTTCCTAACTAACCCTTACACAATTCCTAACTAACCCTTAGCAAGCACTTGAGTTGGCTGCTCTGACAGAGACATGCCCTCTAGTGATTGCTTTATGACAAATTGATCTAGATTTGGTTCCTCATTTACTAAGCTCGGTCTCTGCAAGCACCTCTTGGCCTGTTTTATGTTGCCCTGCACAATGGATACGTGGATCCCCAGCAGACGACTGAGTGCTACAAAACTGCCAAGCGCAGCACAGTATAAACGTTTTTCTTCACCTAGCTCCAAAGTGCAGGCTTAGACAAGTTAAGGTAGCTGAGCTTGCTTAAGTCCCTCTATGCTAAGACTGCAAAACAAACACATTCTTAGTTTGCAGCCAGGCTTCCTTCGCCACTGTTCTCTAGCTCTGTAGACCAAGTATGTTCCTGTTTTTCACACAGTGACTTATGGCTGAGAAGAAATCCCTGCAGAAATTCACCAGTGTTTTTTAACCTTCCTTTGAAATCAGCCCCCTAATAGTTTACAGTGTTGCCCACTGGCTCAACTATGGTGAGCGCTAACAGTTCTGGAGAGGTGATGGCTAACTCCAACAAGCCTTTAAAAGCATGACTTTTGTATTGCAGAGGATTATAGAGACTGTGGCTGTTCTAACAGCTCCTACAAGAGCTGGGATGAGGAAGGAAGCTCATGGACAAGGAAGGAGGTCATCTTTCTTCAGAGAAAATGTCAGATGATACCAATTTCCTCCCTGTCCTTCAGGCAAGCAGCGATCCATGTTTTTGCTTTTATTTTTTGTTTGTTTTGTTTTAAAGCTGTAACCTTGTACATAAAGGGTATTTCCATTGCCCCCTATCTAGACTGCCACTGGTAATTTTAGGATTGGTGCAAACTGCTTCCAGAAATGCAGTGACACTGTCAGCTGCTTAAATGTTCAGCAGAACTCCCGAACAGGGCAGGCTTGTGCGCCAGCCTGTGCCTGACACTGCCACCTCCTTTCCCTCTTTAAAACCAACCAGCACCCCACCACGTTTGCCAGTGTGCTATTAGGAAAGGAGTATTTTTTTGTGGTTGACATTATTCGGGCAATGTGTCCTGCCAGTCATTTGCATGTTAAAGTTTGGCACGGCTGCTGTCCCTCGACACCCTTGGRTGCTTCCTTCCTGGCAAAGCACAGGAGCCCCAAGGCCCCCTCTGCGTGCGAGTAAAACGTGCCCTGGAGTGAAATGTGGTCGGCAGGGGACGGCGAGCTCCGCAACGCTCCCAACGCCTACCCTGCCCAACGGCTCCAACGGCCGCCGCTGCGGGGCTTCTTCCGGCGCGGCCCCGGGGCGGAGCGGGCGGGCGCGGCGCCCGCTGGGCCGAGCCCGCCCCCGGCCAGAGCAGCCGGGGAGGCGGCGAGGTGAGCGGCCGGGCTGGGCCGGGCGGGCCGCGGGTGCGCCGAGCGCGGCAGCCTCAGCGCGGGCCGTCGCTCGGGCGGGCTCCGTGGCCGGGACGGGCAGTGCCGGCCTGGCCGGGCCTCGCCAGCCAGAGGGTTTTAGCCCTCTTGGGTGAGGAGGGTTTGGGCGTCGCTCTTCCCCCTTTGGCCAGTGTGGCAGTGTTCCCAGCTTCCCCTTTCTCAAGACTGGGTGAAGGGGGATAAGCCCGATTCCCCACAAATATGTTCTGCCTTGCAGGCTGCCCCATGTCTCTGTGCATGTGTTAGGCCACAAGCTATGTGTGTGTTGGGAGCCATAAGGGGAAAATGCCCTCAAGCCACATGTGGTGTTCCCGTTCCTGCCCTCAGATGGGGCGCTCCGCAGAATCCTTCCCTGTCTGAAAACTCAGCAGTTCTCTCAAGGTTCTTTTCTGCACTGCAAAAACCCTTGCATGGGTCACCTCTTCTGGACTTTGCCTGTCGAGCTTTCTTGTTAACAGCAGGCAGCTGAAACAATGCAGGATGAGAATYTTTTTTTTTTAATCTTTTCCTTTGTTTTCCAAGCACTTCAATGGCATCCAGAAAGAAGTTACAGGGTCTTGTAGCAGCTACGATCACCCCAATGACTCCTGATGGGTAAGTATTAGTTTGCATCACAGTCTTTGCATGGTCAAATTTGCACTGCTAATGGTTATCGTAAAACCTTATTTTCCTGCTTTCTTTTCCAGAACTGATGGCTGTTTGGTTTTATTTTTTAATCATCTCTCTGATGAATTTACCTTTTCAGTTTTGGTAGTTAGTGCAAAGTTTAGATTGTGCTTCTGCAACTAAAGGTTTAAAACACTAATCCCCTTCCATATAGCCATAAAAGGATGAGGTTAATTCTGTAACCAAGCCATCCAGGCTTGCCCTTGGAAGAAGGGCTAAGTAGGATGAGAAAGGACCAGATCAGTCCCACTAGCACTAGTGGGTTCCCTTTAGCTCTGCAGCCTCCAGTCTCGAGACCAACAAGTTCTGGGGTTAGAAGTGTTGGGTCAATCTTGTATCTTTTTCTACTACTTTTCTAGGTGCAAACTGAACTATGGTAAGATTATATGTGCCTTGTAATGTTTTCAGGCTTTCTAAGATATATCATAGTTCAATCATAAAGTAAAATCACATATTAAAAAATAAAAAGAAGTTGAGATCTAGGAAACAAATATCTAAGTCTGATGTCCAGTTATATTTCTCTTGGCCCTAAGTCATGCACRTTTTCGTGTGTATATTTGTGTGCAATGGATCAGTTTAAGCAAAAAAACATTGCAAGACTTTTAAGTTCTGAAAATGATGGCAGGCAAATTAAAAGTTGAAGTTCAGCTTTCCTCAAGGAAATGTCGATAAAAATATTTTTCTCTACTATATTTTCATGTGTCAAGATTGAGTTATTTGCAATTTGCAAAGGACCCTGAAATATCCTGATAGGAGATGAGCCAAGAGTGWACAAGTATTTGAGGGAGATGATAGTGATTTGCTAATGTGGTCCTTTGAAAGTGAACCTTTTCTTTTAATGAGTTTGCAGAGCAAGTACTATATCAATCAGAGAACTCTTTTGCATTACAATCACTGCTTAATTTTGTGCTTTAAAGGAAACTTATTTCAAAATTTCTTTTTAATTACTACTACTTGAGCTTATTGCAACATGGCATTTCGAGGATGGTCCTGGTCCCTCTGCTGGGAAGTCCATTGTTGTGGTCAGATAGATCCTGTGAGAGCAGATATGAAATTTCAGGTCATATGTGAACCCAGTAAAGGTCTCAAAATTGACTTCCAGACCACATGCCATGCATGTTTGRCAAGTTAGAACAACAACAAAATATTAATCACTGATAAATAAAGTAAGTTTGCTCTGGAGAGGAGATAAACCTATAATCCTTGTTTCCCTGTTTGTTGTGGAAATCTGTTCCTTTCCTCATCCTTTTTTAACAAGAGGTCAGTCACATCCACCAGATACCATTTTACAGTCTGTATCCTGCAGTGAGGATAGCTTAGCTCTCTGCTAGCACTTGCACAGACACTACTGTGCTCTCGAGAGCACTCTTGTTTCCCTAATACTCCAAAAGGCTTGAGTGTCTCATAATCTCCCATTTTTCTCAAAAAATGCCCTTTGCATTYTTGACAAGCCTTCAATAATTATCAAGTGAAATAATATTGGAATAGCAAACAGCTTGTCAGGAGAAAGAGGAACTGCAAGAAAGTACATTCAGAACTGAATTGTTACCTGAATTGTTAAACTCATGCTGAGGGCATCACATCTCAGAGAGATCCATGTATGTATAAGTGCAAGGCTTCAAAAATACCTAAGATTTCTGTGGGTAGAGACTTACAGGAGCTGAGATTCCTAAGCTTCTTTTCATTTCAGACAAATTAACCTCCCAGTAATTCGTCAATATGTGGATTATTTGATAAGCAAGCAGAATGTGAAGAACATTTTTGGTAAGTTTTCTTTCTTTTCTTTTTGAAAAAAAAAAAAAGAAAAAAAAAAGAATTGAAGGTAAAATGAAACAAAAAAAATCAATTTAGAAACCAGATATGTGCACTTCAATTACAGGAGAGACAATGTTCTCTTATAAGCAAACAGAAAAATGCCAGAATCTTTCGTAAGTTTTTTTTCTTTTCTTTTGAAAAAAAAAAAAAAAAAAAAAAGAAAAAAAGTTTTATGCAATGGGATAGCAATGCTGTCATAGCTTGCCTGAGAAGAGCTGTAATGGGAAGCTCTGTTGATGTGGGATTATAATAGATATTTGATTCACAGTGGAGAGAGTGTAGGCAATATTTCAGGCATCTGCTTTTGCCCACTTTTCATTAGTATACAGACTAAAATAAGTCTTGCCTTCATAAGGAGACAAATGGATAGTGCTGGATTGGCAGCATTTGAGTGGTTCTTTCCTTTACCTGAACAACATACAATCATCTGATAGAAGATCAGGAGTCCAGGGCATCCAACAGGCTCTGCCACAAAGGGGCTCCTTGGAGGGATCTGTGATGTACTGGACGATATCTCAATGCTTGCTGTCCTTACCTGTCTACTCTGCCCTCAAGGGGCTTCTGCCCTCTGAGCAAGGAYGGCTGGATAGAAAACACAGCTGCTGCAAAACCAACATGGTTCACAGCCTGGCATATTTAAGYAAGCTGAAGTTGGTGCTTTCAGCTCAAAATTTCAGTCAAAAAAGAGTGGCAAGAGGAGAAGCAGAATGTGTCCCTGACTTGAGCAGTTTGTTGTTCACGTGGTCACACCACCTGRTCAGCTGAGTTGTCCCTCCTTTGTCAGAATTTTCCAGTTTTGGCATCTGATTCCACATTTTCCCTCCCCTGTATGCTGAAAAACCTGGGTCTCAAACCTGAGCATTTAGTGCTGATAACACTCTAAGCCCTGTGTAGCCCCTGATGTGGAATACTGTTATCTTAAAGTGAACTGGGGGAAAAATATTTTGGTTTATTATCACAAAAATATCAGTAGCCGTCTTCAGTAAAACCAATCCATGTAGGGGTAGTCTCAACAGGCATGTTGTGCTTTATTGAAACAGTGAATGGCACAACAGGAGAAGGTCTGGCCCTCAGTGTCCAGGAGAGGAAGCAGCTGGCAGAAGAATGGGTGCGTCAAGGAAAAGACAAGTGAGTAGATGAGAGGGAACAGGAAATCCCAGCTCATGTTATGATACAGGCAGCCCTGAATGCAAAGCCACGTGTGTCTGCTGATGGCTTTTCTTGGTGTGTTTTGTTGTTGAGGTTTATTTTCCAAGTCCTTTATAGAAGAATGTGTCCATTTCCACTGCTTAGAAGGTTGTAAGAGTCCTCCTCTCTTGGTACAGAAGTGTGGAGCTGGGGGAAAAAATGGATTCTGGGCTGTGAGAAGAATTATTCTTGAGAAGAAATGAAAGAAAAAAGAGTTCTGCCCGTTTAAAGTCCTGTGAGCATTTCAGAACCTTTTAATATATTCACTGAATAGTTTGGTATGGGGGAAGCTGAGGTGCAAAGTGTTCAAGTGCTTTCCTGAAGATGCAGAATCTGTGGCGGAGGGAGGAATTCAACGTAGCTYTTCTGAGACTAGCTATGTATCTAATACAGATCTTCTCTCCCCTTCACTCCGGTACCTGTCAGAGTCCTGTTTTACTGAGCCCTCCTTTTGGAGAGGAGGAGGTGTTTTGGCATGGGAGGTACGGTGAGAGAGAATAAACTGGTGTGAAAACTCACAGTCAGTGTAAAAGTAAAGGTGAAACACAGAAGTGGTATTGATTAATTGGAAGTTGGGAAATTATGTTGAATGGAGCAAGCAAACAGTTGAAGATGATGCCATGAGACTGTTGTGCTCCTCTCATAATTCTGCAAAGCAATAACTTCAGAAAGCAATATCCTTTAATATTCTTTTGCCTTCCCAGCTMCATATAAATCTTCACATCTAATAAAATGCTAAGATTTTTCACTCCTGGCGGCCCTGCAAATATGACAGGAAACATTCATACATGATTTATTTTGCAAATGTGCATTTTTTCTCACCATTAGCTATTTGCCAATGTAGACATTTTCCCCATTTGTTTGCTCCTCAATTCAGCACAGGTTTAAATCCCTTTCAGTATTAATTTAGTTCAGTAATGTTCTTGTTTTGTGGCTGCATGGTCTGAATGGATTCATTTTGCAAGTCTGGTATTTTTCACCATCAGTGAAGTCTACCAAAATCTTCTGGTTTTGTTCTTATGCAGATTGGATCACATGATCATTCATGTGGGAGCGCTGAGTCTGCCAGAGTCCCAAGAGCTGGTGTGTAAATGATGTACACACCTTTTCACAGTGTGTGTAATAAAGCGGATGTACCGTCAGATATCTTCTGTCTTTTATAGGCGAGACATGCAGCAGCCATAGGTGCAAGTGGCATTGCTGTAATAGCCCCTTTCTTCTTCAAACCCACAAACAAAGGTGAGTGATGTGATTGTTAGACCTGGTCAAGCCATTAGSAGTATTTTCTGGAAGAAGAGAGCTCATGCTGTGAGGAGCAGTGATGACAGTGCTGTTCCTTGTGGAGCAAGTGTTGCCATACATCAGATTCTAGGAGGGTTAGCATCCCTTGGTTCTCTGCATCTCCTGCTACCTCAAAACTTCTAGTACTGAGTATTTTGCTTTTAACATAATAAACATAAGATGAAGGAACCAAATGATGTGGAACATTGTAACAGAAATGTTGTAAGATTGGTGTGAGTTATGAATGAAAAGGAACATGRGAAAGCTCTCAAAGAGACAGGAGAGAATGCAGGGCCTGAACTCACAGCGAGGGGCACAGTAAACAGCAATCGAACCAGTAGATGCTGAYGAACAACATGTAGGTGAGCAGAAGACCTTTGCTGTGACAACAGTAGAAAGGTAAAAAGATTTCAACACCTCACTTTTGCCATTCCTCTTCCTGCCATGCCAGCAGGAAGATAGACCATTGCCCAAGGTTTGTAGGGGACGCAATGAGCAAGATTTGAGGAAGATCAACCATAATAACTCTTTACTTCTTAAAATGMTACTCTTCTGTGACTGTGCACTGTGATGCCGAAATGTACAAGTCAGATCTCCACAGATTGTGGCTGCTATGAATCTGAACTGCCTTTCACCAGGGATGGTCTCCGCCTCTTACGAGGTCACTTGGTTGCTTTCTTCCAGATGAGCTGATTGCTTTCTTGAGGGAGGTTGCAGCTGAAGCTCCTGCTCTTCCATTTTATTACTATCACATTCCACATCTGACGGGTGTAAAGAGTAAGTACTGCTTGCTCTGCTCTCCTGAGCCAATAGGCTCTTAGAGGCCCAAATAAACTCAATGGCTGAGTTCTGCAAGACCGACTATTTGGGAGAGAATAAGGAAAACATAACTTGTTACTAAGATACAGGGTGTTTTGGGATATATGAATCTGTATTTATTCATAAGTAAATCATTGCCAGTTCATTCACAAATTTTCACTTCTCTGTGTTCTTTTCCTTCTGATCTGGAAAAAGGAATACTTCAGGGAGGATGGAAAGATAACTATGATGTAATTTCGGGCAAAATGACATTGAWATTATTTTACTGGTTGCTTTACATAATTTACCAGACATATGCCAACAGGGAATAACTTGTACTAAGTCTCTCTCTGCCCCTTGGGGAGGAGGCAGGGAAGTTTCGCAGGATGGGGATGTGATTCTTCATGTGGGATTGCTCTTCTGCACAGTTCGTGTTGAAGAGTTGCTGGATGGGATAAAAGAGCAGATCCCAACCTTCCAGGGCGTGAAGTTCAGTGACATGGACCTCTTGGACCTTGCACAGTGTATAAACAAGAATGACAGAGAAGAGTTGGTATTTCTTTATGGAGTGGATGAGGTAAGAGGTTCCCCTTAATAATTCTTTTTTTCTTAAGACATTCTCTTGCTTCAGCTTGGGGGGGAAAAAAAAAAAAAAGTAATGCTGGACATTGAGTCCCAGGTACTTTTGCTGTTTCCTTTCCTTTTAAAAATGTTTGTTACACAAAGTAAAAATACTCTTTATCCCCTCTCCCATCCCAAACTAGCAACTTCTGAGTGCACTGGCAATAGGGGCAGATGGAGCAGTTGGAAGGTCAGTATATCTTGGACTCCTTTTCCCCTTCCCACACTTTCCTGATGTATCTGCCACTCTCTGCATAGGATTTTTCTGCTTACCTTCTATCATAGTAGGGGAGGCCTTTACAGGATAAGGCTGCACAGCACAGAGCARCGTAATGAGCTAGCCTGAATGCCAGCAATGGCACCACTGTGTAACCTGGACCTCGTAGTGTACCAGTTTGGGTGATTCTTGCTGCAGTCTGTAAGGTGACCCAAGGGTTTATATTTTTATTTATCCTCACAGAACCTTTCTGAAATAGGGAATTTATTTATCTTCATTGTATGGTAAGGAATCAAAGCCCAGAGAGGTTAAATCTCTTGTCTTTTTCACGCTGTTGAGAAACAAGGCTCTGGAACAGAGCTCTGTTCAATTTCTGTTCAATTTCTGTTTTTTTTCCCTTCATGCTAGGCTGTTTAGATGAATTATTATATATTTCTCCTCTTGTGTAGACAATCCATTAAATGAATATTAATCTAGAAAATTGATTGCCCTTCTGTATTGCCTAATTGCTTTTATTATTATCATATATTAATAATAATAATAATAAAAGCAATTAGGCAATACAGAAGGGCAATCAATTAATAATTACAATAATTAATAATTAATGATAATAATTTTGAAAAGCAGTTCCATTTGGGAAGAAATAGGAAGAGAAATCCAAGCTTTAAATGCTTTTTTTAGGCCTTGGCATATTTATGATGCCTATCACTATAAACACATGCACCGTACTGCATGAATCTCTGTCACATTGCATTCTGATAATACTCARACAGAAGACTTGTTGGGCTACTTTTCTGTTTCTTGGTGGTTTTTCTAAGCCTCTCTTGCATTTGCAATCTTTATTGTTATTTTCAGTACCTACAACTACTTGGGCCAAAAGAACAACATGATGTTGCAAGCTTTTGCACAGCATGACCTTTCATTAGCACGGAAGTATCAGGTACGAGTTACCTTTTTTCCTGAGCAGCCCCACAGTGGCCAGGCACCATGGTTCTGGTGTTACCTTACATGAGGGGATGCAGAAAGCTGTTGCCAATCAGTTCTGGCTTGCCCTTTTTTCATCCTGGCCTGTTTGATGACTTGTGAGACATTCTGGGTAAGCAGTATACAATACCCAATATCTGTATCTTTCACTGGGACATAAGACATCCTTCTTTTGTCCTAAAAGAGAACTGATTCTAGGATGAAACTGTAATAATAAAAGATAGTCTGCTTTAGAAATCTCTTTATCAGGCGGCAGAAATTGAGATTTATTAACCTTTACAGCCTGATATGAGACTTATCTGCATTCCCAGACAGCTGCAGGAGTAATTGAACAGCAGTGATATAGAGGGGAGTGATGGTTTTCYTACATCCTTTTCTCCCTTCCCTGTTCCAGTGAAATAGAATTAATATTTCCCATAGACTGGCCAGCTTTCCCACAGCTATGCCCCAGTTGTATAAAATGTAAATACCATAATATTTCTAGATGCTTCTGTGTCTTACATACATGACAGAGTGAATAAAGTGCTGTCTCTCTCTTCTAGTTTCTCACTGGTGAATTTCTTAACTTTGTCATCAAACTAGGTAAGTCCTACGTTGCCCTTGCCACTTGTTACATTAAAAAGTAGATTGAGTGCTCCAGAAAGCCTCATATTGCTAAATTTCCTCCCTGATAGGTTTCATGAGAAAATGTTGCACGTGTTTCCTGAGTTGGGAAGCAGCTGGGAGTTGAACAAAGGGAAGCCTCCCTAAAAGATTCCACTCTCACTTCCTTCCTTCTACTGTGAAGTTTTACATCTTTAAAATAGTTTTTCTGTGATTTATCTTTTTACCCTTCTCTTATCCTGACTTTTCCTGTATGTGTTTGTCTATTTTTATTAACTCTCCAAATACCTGTTTCTGGCTTCTTTTCTTTGAGTGTCATTGACCTCAAATGATGTTGCCCCAGCAGGAAAAAGCAGCTCTGATACTTGTCTATCTTGTCTGGATATATTTTACAAACAACTCTGCTCAATGCTTTACAATGAGAATAAAGACAAAACACTTTAAGAGGTAGATACATTTGATAGAAGCAAAACTATTTTTTAATACAAAAAGTAGTAAGATCATTGAAGCTGGATTGTTGTAGGGAGACTGATTTTGTGCTTCATGGTTTCTACACCATGTTAACTGTTCTTTTCATGTACATGCTGCATGCAAGCTGCAAAGAATCTGTATGAATCGCAGTTAAATGATCTATAAATTACCTGCTTTCTATTTCATCTGCCCAGGTTTTGGTGTTGCCCAGACTAAAGCAGTGATGACTTTTGTTTCCGGCATTCCCATGGGACCTCCCCGGTTTCCGCTTGTTAAGGCCTCAGAGGAGTTCATCGCCAATGCCAAAGCCAAGCTGAACAGCATTGTGTGGCCTACTGACTGATTTCACTTCCATGTGGATTTTCCCCATGGGCAGTGAATACCTTCTCAGGGTCTCACTGTCACCTGGCACACTCTCCATGTGACAGGGTGATTTAGCTGTGACTTCCATCAGGGATCTTGCAGGGTGCCTGAGCTCCTTCCTGTTAGGGCTGGTCTTGTTGGCACAGATCTAGCTGTCTTTTCATCTAACCTTACACATCTCCCTGGATTCGTGCACATCCCAGGATGAGCTGTTATCTCTAAAATAAGGACATTTTCCCCAGTAGAAGGGTCTTGGCTACTTTTGCACAGAAAGCAAGAAGATCTGTCTCTRCTCTCCACTATTCCCACATACTTTGTGCTCCTCCTCCACCTTCACCAGCATCTCCAGCACTGCTGTATGTTTGTATACACTGGTATGACACTCTCTGCTTGCTCAGGAGCTGTTTTAATCTGTCATGAAATCTTAGTCCATTATCAGCAGTAACTAAGGAATCTGTTGCTTTGGGGCACTGTCTACTCGTGTAAAATCTTTATTCTTTCTCATTGTCTTAATGCACCTTAAYTTAATGCAAAATTTAAAGAAACTTTTGTAATCTGAGCTTTTGCGTTACTAATGAATGGATATTTCTTCATCTTTTTCCTCGCAATGAAACTGGAGCTACAATTGAACTGTAATTCTCTGTATGCAAATGATATGCAAAATATACTGTGTTAAATCATTAGGAGAGAATCTATGATCAGATTAAGAGGTCCTCTTTTGCACCCTGGACCTGTTCAGCGTGTGAAATATTCTAATTTCCTTCTAATTTGTATTTATTTAATAAATTCAGACTAGYGTAGGTTCCTCTGTTCCCCTCACCTCTGAATTTGTAAGAAATTTAGAGAAGCTTTTCCCATTTCTCAGCTTGAAAGAGAGGTACCTCAGCCATGGGTGCTGCAGCTCWGGTAGCTCATGGTCGAACTGTTGCATAGTGGAAAACACAACATGAACATAAAACAAGAACTGATTGTTAGTCCCYTTTCTAATATCTCCACTAAGACACTAAATATCTTTATTGTAATTCTAGTGCTGCAACTTCCTGATTATTTTAGTATGTRGCATATAGGAATTAATGACACTTAGATAAGGCATCTTTAAAAGATTTGTTTTCTAACAGATCCGAATTATTTTGGTTCAATAATTTGATCACTTGTTTGTCACTACCAAATCTTGAAAACATTTTGGTCATTTTTTGACTCACTTCTGTATTCAATAATGATAATAAAACATTGTTTTAAATGCTTCTATTGCTGTTTCCTTTATCTCTTGTAGAAAATGCCGTTGCTGAGGTCCTAGGGGAGCAGCGGGGGAAGCTGAACTTTAGCCACGGGGGCTGTTTCGCACAAGTCAGCAGGACTTGATGGTCGAATAACATGTAAACGTGCGTCCTCGGAAGAGCAGACAGTAAATTATTTTTAGAGGTTGGAGGGAGGAAAGGGTCGTCAGCTGCTTTTGCTCCTGGTTGCCGGCCCAGCCTTCCCTCAGTCTTCAAGCTTTCCACTAAGCGCCTCAGCACTTTGCAGGGTSGTGGTGCTGTTGTCCCTCCGAAGTGCTGGATCTTTGAGCAGCTGCTGGAGCTGTTTTTGGCATCCAGCTTTTCATGGCGCAGGAAACCCCCTTGCGCGGTCGATCGAGGCGGCCCTTGGCGGCGCTCCCCGTGCGCTCTCTTGTCCCGCCGCGGCCGCCGTCACGGCGCCCGCCATGCTGCGGGGCGGGGCGGGGCGAGGGGGCAAGCGCCCATCTCCTGTAGCCCCGCCCTCCCCGAGGGCCGTTAACGGCCGCTGCGGAAGGCCGTTAACGGCCCCACCATGGGCGACGTGAAGAACTTCCTGTACGCCTGGTGCGGCAAGAGGAAGGTGACCCCCAACTACGAGATCCGCGCGGCGGGCAGCAAGAACCGGCAGACGTTCCTGTGCGAGGTGCGGGGCCTGGGCTCTGCGGGCTTCCCTCAGGGCACAGCGTGTGGGTGTCGGCGGACGGGGTGTGTTTCTGTAAGCGCCCCACGCGGGCGGACGTGGGTGTCCGCAGACAGGGGTGTGTGTTTCTGCAAGGGTCCTGCACAGATGTGCAGCGCTCCTCGGAGGAGGCTGAAAGGTGAGTGTGAAGCCTCTCCTGGGCAAGAGCCCGAGCATTYCAACGTCAGCCTGGGCAGGTGTCTCCTCCAGTTCCTTGTGGGGTGTTGGAAGGTGATCGTAAGACCTGGTATTATGTTGCCCGGATCTGTGTGCCGTTACAACCTTGCTCTATGCTTGGCTGTTGAAATGCTGAATGCTCCACCGGACAACTTAAAGTTCATATCRTCTCCAAGAAGGAGCTAATGCTCAGCCCAAGGGTGCTTGAGGATTAGGATGTAAATAAAAATCATAGACTTGGACAAAGCAGATTGAATTTGTCATTAGGTGCTTCATCCCAGAAAACCCCATAGCAAAACTGACAGCACAGAGCTGATATGGAAGTGAGGTGAGTGATACGGCAGTGTGTCAGGATTTGAGGGAATGAGCAGGTGCGTGAATATGATTATTGCTGGGCATCCTTTTTGCCATCCCTTGTTGTTAGTGTAGTGTCTTTGAAAAAAAAAATTGAATACTTCCAAATTTGTTGGATTTCTCCATTTTCTGGCAGAACCTTCTCTAGAGGTTAATGATTATGTCCCTTTTTCCTTCCCCTTTGAGTGTATACTCCTTGCTGTCAGAATGAGCATCTCTGTATTTTCCTTCCTCTTACATGGAGATGCTCTTCTTTTCGTATGTCATRTAAATACACTCTTGTTTCATGCAAAAAAGGGAGTATTTTACTTAATTTGCCCTTCTACAATAAAAATCCAAAGCTTAGGGAAACTTAGTGATGGTGCTCAATGTAAACATATAAGGATGGAAAATAAATTTAAGATGAAGGGGAATGGTGGCAGAAAAAGCTGTAAAATATCTGGTTAGCTTGAAATTTAAAAAGGTTTCTGTGCTGTACTTCAATTTTGTAGCAGCTTCTCAGATAATCTAGRAGGATAGAAAGAGGTTGCTTTAAACTGTGGCTGCAAGTTTATGTTTTGAAGATTTTGAGAAATACTYATTCTCTTGAGAATAGCCTAATGATATTTTCTTTAATAAATAAGAAATATTTCTGGCCACAAGTTATACCTTGAAGAGCTATAGGAAAAATAATTTTGTCTTTTCAAGACACTTTCACTTGTGTTTATCATGGGTCTGCATTTTAATTTGCAGGTTCGAGTGGAAGGCTTTAACTACATTGGCATGGGCAATTCTACCAACAAGAAAGATGCACAGAGCAATGCTGCTCGGGACTTTGTCAATTATTTGGTTCGAGTGAATGAAATAAAGACTGAAGAAATCCCTACTTTTGGGGTAAGTTGCTCATTTCTTCATTCCAAAAACTAATCTTTGATTGCAATGCTGTCTTGGAGATCAGACCTGGACCATGTTATTTTTTCCCTGCCTGATCATACAATTGCTTAACTTTAAGTCAGGGCTACTTGTTGGTTGAGAATACAGTTAAGGAATACCCATAGAAAGCCAAATATTCATCAAGTGCATTCTTTTCATATTAAAAGAGGAGCTTTGCCTGTTACTATTGCATAATGAAGCGTGAACCCTTTATGTTGCCCAGGGTTTTCAGGCTAAATACTAAGAAGATTTTCTGGGTACAAAGGTGTTGATTATTTCCCTTCATTTTCTTCTCTAGCCAGCAGGTGGCAATACTGCTGCCAAACTGATACCTGGACCAGCTGGAGATGTTCCTGATTCCGGTTCTCCTTTGGGTGGACCTCTCCCTCCGCATTTGATTCTGAAGGCTGAAACAGGTAATAGTATGAATACTAGAATTTAGATGTTTGTGTATTTAATACAGATATATTTTTTTGGTTGTCTTTGTCTTGTTTTTTTTTTTTTTTTTT